CCCGTCCTCTGGTCCCCCAGCTGCGGTGTCCGTCGCTCCTGCGAGCGCCGGGGGTGGGCGGGGGCCGCGGGGAGAGCCGGGGTGGGGGGCATGGGGTCCCCGGGGGCACCGAGGACCTCTCAACCGATGTTCTTTTTCTTCCCTGTTTTTCCCTTCTGGGCGCTCCTCGCAGAGTTTGGGACCAAAGAGAGGAGAATGGATCTCGGCACAGGTACTGGCTGTGGGGAGCCCAGCAACCTCTTTCACTTTTCTTTTGGTTCTTGGACGGAAGTTCTTATTTTTAACCGAGTGGGGTGGCAGCTGAGGCCGGCGGTGGGGGGCCGGCCTGGCGGGGGGCGGGTGCTGGCCGCCCGGGCTCGCCCTGGATTCTGGATTGTGAGACTTGGGGGTGATATGATTGTTATTATTTGGTACTTGCTTACGGCCTGTGACTAATTTGATGCTTGTCATTATGAAAGAAGGGAGGGGGGAGGAGGTAGGGGGGAGCACCCACAGAGTGGAGTTCGGGGGTTTTTGGTGGGGGTTTTTGTGCTGTGTGTGTGTGTGTGTGTGTGTTCGTGTGCTTCTCCCCCTGCAGGATATCTGGGTGTCTGGCCATGGGGTGTGTGTTTTTATTTTTTTAGTGGGGGGTGGTTGAGTTTTTGAAAGCAGCGTCCTGTTGGGAAAGGTGGTTAGTCTGGTTTCGGGGTGACTGTCTCAAGGTAAAGGAATTTAATTTATTTGGGACAAGGCTGTGTTGCATGATCAAGCTGCTTATTATGGCTAATGAGTATTTTTCACCTGAGAGTCCGTGGGATGAGGCGGCTGTTATCAGTTCAAAGTGAGGGCCCAGGACTCTCTCCCTGTCCCCCTTTCCAGCCCCCACCTCGGCAGGGGAGTGGACCAGACAAACTATTAAATGTGGGTGTCTGGGTTTTGGGGGTGCCTACTATAGGAAGGGCTTCAGCCAGCACGCCACTGGCCTAGGGCCGAGTTGAGCCCCAGATTGGGGTGTTTTATTGGTTTCAGTGTGATTTTATTCAATGTTTCTCTTCTCTTCCCACCTGGGGCTCCAGTCTGAGCCCCGAGGGAGGTTTGTTTTTCAGCTTCTCATACTCTCCATTGCCCCAAATTAGATCAGAAGCGGCCGTGTTCTTCCCAGATTAAAAAGGGGATACTCATCAGTAACAAACAAATGGCTTCATTCACTGAGACCCCCTTCTGGACCCTCTGCGTCACTGGTGGCATAGCTAGTGGCAGTGGCTGTTAAGATTAGGATTTGTAACAGGCCCAAGTTCATGGCTGGCACTGGTCCTTGGGACAACTCTGTGTGGGATCCCTGAACTGACTTCTGACCTTCTGAGGTCAAAAGGGAGCCGGAAGAAGGCAGCCCCGGGAGGGGGGCTGGTGTTATGGTGTAGGTGTTATGGTGGCAGGCTGTAGGAGGGAGATGTGTACTTGTCAGTGATGTTAAAACAAAAATCCCACCGAGCCAATAGACTGATCAAAGTGTATTGGGTACACAGTTTATGAATCGGGAATCCATGTATGTCGGCCGGGAGCGGAAGACATTTCAAAGAGAAGAAAGAGTTTCCAGGGAGTCTTCCACGCCGTCTTACTCCCATTGCCGGTGAAGCAAGGCCCAAAGGGTGTCTTCATAGTAACAGTTTACCCTAAGACACAGCTTCCGGCCCTGCTCCGGGAGATTCTGTGTCCCAAAATGCCTGAAGCAAAAGGGTCTTTACCAGTTAGCAAGGCAGTTCTCTTGACTTACAGGTGACTTTCAGGAGACCAGTTGGCTCACAGCTCAAAATCAACCCAGGCCAATGGCCTGAGTGGGTTACCCCAACTCCAGGGACCCCAGAAATCTGGATTCCAAGAGAATTCAAAACTTTTTCTGTGGGAGGGGATGGCTCGTAGAGTTGTTCCCACCCCTCAGGTGATCTTGGATAATCGGATATGGAGGTGCCACAGGATTCCTGTGCCCAGGAAGGGTGTAACACCACCTGCTGGGCAAAGTGATGAAGGTGTCCAAAGCCACCCCGCCCTCCCTGCCCACCACCCCCGCAAGGAGCCAGCCCACTCCCATCTCTAATCAGCCACCTCATCAGCTCCCTCTCAAGCCCCACCCCCTTTCTTCGGAAATGGGGCCCCCACCCATCTCAGTCAAGAACCAGAACTTAGAAATGGGCTGGGGCAAGGAGCGCACCGCCCCTTAACCTGGGCTGGGCAAGCCTCTGCTTGTGGCCAGGCACAGGGGACCCAGGGATTACTCAGCTGGAAGGAGGGTCCCCTCATCTTCCTCCTGCCATCTCCAGGTGCCAACTGAGCTGGCTCTATCCCTCTGCCCTGTGCCAACTGTGCCATGGGCATGACTCCAAAGCCCTTTAGGGGGGTGACCGAACTGCAGGGAGGACTCCCAAGCCCAGCAGGAAGCCGTGGTAGAACCTCTTGTGACATCTCTCCTGAGCCGTGGGGAGCCTGGCTTCTCCTGCCCACTCCAGGGACAGGGCTTGAAACTTTTTCCTAGAAACTAGAAGGGCCCCTGAGGTCAGCTGGTCCCTGCTGTGGCGGGAGCTGCCAGGCCCCAGCCTGGACTCTGGCCACTCGGGGAGGAGAGGAGAGATCCATGGTGTCACAGTTCTGCTTCCTGGAGGAGTCATCTGCTGATCGCATCTCAGCCTCTTCTTTGAACTTGCAAGTTTCACTTAATCTCAGAACTTCAAAAGAAAAGCACCGCCCCCCCCCCCCCCCCACTTTCACACACACAAAAAGAAAACAGGTCAGGGTGGGGGCTGGCTCTCAGGTCTCTCTGAGCCTACCTCTGAGCTGACTCCAGGCCCAGCTTTGGGGCGTCAGGAGCTCAGTTTCCAGAACACTGCCGCGTACAGACCAGGTGAGGACCTCCTCTCCGGCCAGAGGCCACACCTCGTATGCACAGCATGGCTCTCTTTGCTTCTGGGCGCGCACTGAGCACCTTCCGAGGTGGGCTTCTCCTGCAAGCAAGAGGCTGGAGATACAGCGTCATAAGGGTTGCCGGCATCAGGGGCCCAATAGGCATTGGCTCTTGGACCAGCCATTGCCTCCCGGCCCCCCACCAGACTTCTTGGTCAGGGAGTGCCCCAACTCTTGTCATGCAATGGTGGGCAAGGCCTTGGCTTCTTAGGAGGGAACAGTAGAACCTCAAGACCTTCAGGGGCCATGTGGACCCCTGTTTCCCCACCATAGTTCAGCCAAGGGCTGGATCAATCTGGACGTCTTTAGCAATAAAAAATGCCGATGTCGTCCTAATTCACCAGGCCCCGAGATGACAGCAAATTTACATTTTTTAATTAAACTAGCAGCCAGTTTTTATGAGAGGGGGTTGGGTTATGCAAATCAAATGGTTGTGTACGGAAGATTAGGAGAGTTTGGGAATAAATTCCACAAATGCTAATAAAAAAAAAGAGAGAGAGCGAGAGAGGGAGGAGAGAAAGGAAGAGAAGGGGACAGGCCTCCATTAGACCCTTTTAGAGTGATTTCCCTTGGGGGGAGGGGAGGGAAGGCAGGAGGGGGAGGAGAGAGGAGGAAGCTTTCAGACCCAGGTAAATCCATCCTGTAGTTGGGAAGCGTCCTAGGATTAGGCCCCTACCAGGCCGATGGCGGCCCTTGAGCAAAACTGGAAGCAGAGGTGGAGAATGACTGTGGAAACAGGCGTGGGTTGTGAGCAAGCACTTGCCCCGACTCCCGGGGACCTGCTTCCAAGCACCCCTCTCTCTCTAAGGGATCCTGAGAGGAAGAGGAGGACCTGTCCAGGGCTGGCGCCTCCACCCAGAGCATGGAAGGTCAAGTGCAAGTAGCCAAGCGAGAAAAGCTCAGGCTGCAGGGAAGCAATGCAGGTGGCCCTGGCCGGTCGGGTGCTGCTCTTGCACCACACGGTCTAGGTCCAGGCCTCCCTGTGCCCAGCCCGCTGCTCTGTACCCCCTGGGCAAGCTCCACTGAGACTCCAGGTCCCCCTTGGGTTGCACGCTCTAGGCTGCTGCCGTGGGGTACGCCTGGAAGGCTCATTAGTGTGCTTCTGAAGGAGCACACTATGCTGCCCTCCACAAGGTCAGCAGTGTGAGACCCACCAGCCTCTCTGAGGGAGAAAGAGGAGGCTGTCCCTTAGAGTAACCCTGAGGCAGAATCGACTTGATGGGAGTGAGTTGGGGGACATGCTTTGGGGGGACACAGTTGCGAAGTAGGAGAAGGGAGGCTGCAAACTACTTCCAGGCGATGCCTGAGCCCAAGGAACAGAAGCCTTGGCCTCCTCAGCCCTGCCCGCTGTGCTCCACTCAGCTCATGCCTCCCCCAAGTGTCATCCGCCTCCAGGTTCACAGAGCTTCCGGGTCTCTTGCTCCAGGCCAGGGCTTTCCAGAAGGGAGGCTTCTGGGAACCCTGCGAGCTCCAGTTGTGGGAAGTTCGTGTACTGTATCTGGGGGGGAGATTCCAGGCCAGGGCTGGGGAGAGCAGGGTGCCCTCGATTTTCCTTCTTCCAGCTTTCCCGCGGTCCGATGTACCCACTGAACAAGTCTCAGGAGGGGCGGTCAGGATGGGCACCGATTCCACCAGTCTGCTGCAGGAAGGAGCAGTCCAGGCCAAGGGCAGATTGGGCTGTCGGGGAAGCAGGGAGCTTCCTGGTACCCTGGGGACAGAGGCTGACAGTGAAGTTTGGAGGCAGCTGGCCATCAGATGACCTTTACCTTCTCTGGTTCTCTGACTCCCGACTCGATTTTATCTGAGGCCTCCACCAGGTGATCTGGGGTGGGGGTGGGGGGTCAACTGGCTGAGACAAGAAGCGGGTCCTTTGTGGCCTTCTGTTTGATGTCAGGTATGCAGAAACAGGCAAGTCTGGGCTGTACATAGACCAACTCTAGCACTAAATGGAAGTCATTAGAGCAAAGCTCAGGTGGTACTGTGGGTTAGGCCTTGGGCCGCAAGCCACAAGGCCATCAGTTCAAACCCACCAGCCTGTATGGGGGAGAAAGAGGAGGCTGCCTGCTCCTGTAAAGATTTACCATCTCAGAAACAGAACGTAGGGTCGCTCTGTGTCCCAATCAGCTCAATGGCAGTGGGTTTGGTTTGGGTTTGGGTTTATTCCCCAATGGCAGCCAGAGACTGAACAGGTCTGAAAGGACCACCATTTCCCTGGTAGGCCCAGTCGGGGGAACCTCAGAGAGGGCTGGGGGCTGACACAATCCGATTCCTCTCCCA